ATTTAAATGACTGTACTTGTTTCGAGCAACATCTGAAGATGCACAACATCTATAATATATACGAATGCCCGCAATTCACGGAAGGAACATTTGTCTCGGAATCTGCGTACTTTCTTAATATCCAGTTAAGTCAATTTGCTGGCTGTATTTCGACAAGTTATCCGCGCGTACATCCAAAGAAAGCTCGGGTAGTCGTAAGTTACTTTGTTTGTTTCTCTTCTAGCTGCAGGCAACATTCACAATCTAAATAAAACTTGCCTCGCAACTTATCACTGTCCATCGATTTAGAACCAAAAGTTATCCAAAAGTGTACTTGAAGCCTTTACCATATGTGCACCATGAAAGAAAATGTCAGTGTCCTTCCTATTATTAGGCCGGTATTCATAATTCTTAATTCTCGATTCTTAATTCTTATATTTAAAATCATCTTATTTTGAAGTATCTACTTCAAGTACCCTCTTTACCCTTTTAAACGCAAACGTTTGTATTATATCGTACAACAATTAAATTAAATAACGAAACATTCCGCAATTGCAATTTTAAATCAAAGCTATATGTATATGTATATGATTATAATATCTGATTCTTTTCTTCATTCAGCGATATCGTACATACTCCATATATCAGTACGTAATATTATATTGTATATAATATACGTAAAGACACTTATTCGCAGCGAGTGTCGCAAAGATATTAATTTTGATTTATCTGTTGCAGCGAGTTGTTTCGTCGGTCAGCAGAACGCGCATTCCCTTCTGGTATTAGTGCTGGCGCCGCAAATCGTCTATCTGTCATTCGGCGCAACGTTCCTTTTAATTGGCTTGGCAACATTGATGTTACCGCGGCGCCCGACGGTGACACCGACGTCGACATCGATGTCGACGGCGTCGTCGTCGTCATCGTCGACGGCGGCGGCGGCAGCGGCAGCGGCAGTTTTAACGGCGCTAACGGCGTCCCACGCGAATCCATTGCGTTCGCAGCGAAGTGAAATTTCCGGCAAATCATCCCCAGGAGAAATTCACCGGCGACAAAAGCAGTTACTGATTCGCGTCGGCATATTCGGTTGCCTCTACGCCATCCTGATCATTTGCCTCGCCAGCACGACTTTCTATGAATGGTGGGGAAGAGAAACGTGGCTCCGAGCACCGGAACCATCAACGGCACCTCGCGTACCTGCTCGTCCTCTGTTGCAAGTTTTCATTCTACGATTAGTAGTGACCCTCGGTGCCGGCGTGATGGCCGCCGCGTGGATCTGGTGGCCGGAAGTAACGAACGCTTGCCGTAAGCTGCCACACTGCAAACAACCTCCGCATAAATGCCATCCTGTCCCCCTTGTACACACCTGTTACAACGCTGCCAATCCTATACCTCATCAGATTCACCATCTTGCTCATCTAACGCCGTCGCAGCATCCTCTATTGCATCAGCATGCAACATTAACCAATTCGCAATTGCCACATAGGAACCATAAGAATAAGAAGCATCGGAAACACCGGAAACATTATCATTCCGGTAGCGAAACGCAAGTTTGAACTTTGAATGAACGCTAACACGTTAGCTGTTTCTTTTGTGCCTTACGTCGCGTCGCGTCGCGTCGCATCCAATTCGATCCAGTTCAAGTGTCGTATTAGGTACTTATTGTTAGTCTTAAAACTCCATCCAGAGTCAGCGACGACATACAATAACATTTGTAGATATTGGTAGTCGAAACGATCTTACAATGTGGGTAAGCTCGGACTGCCGGAATCGGGAATACTGCCTATTAGAAACGAATTAAACAAAGTATATAATATACTTTTGTATTTGTCTGTTAAATTTTCTCATCACATTTTTCTACACACATAAAATGATCTATTTCAAGTTATTTAGCATCTTAATGACATATATCGATACAACCCTTGTTAATTAACAAATCTCTTTTTTTTTCTTCTCATAATTGTGATAGAACAGTACATAAATTTATAAGCATTTTTTCAACTTATAAATAGGATAGCGTGCCAAAGTCTCATAGAAGTTATCCTTGTCACAGGATAACATTATATAAATTTTTAATTATGTTGCTTGATAACAAGCGCATTAATGAGTCTTGCTTTACGAGATATAATAGATTTATTGGATTTACTTTACGTATCAATTATTGCTGCACGTATAGCTCACAGCGCAATCACGACCTTTTTTCTGTACATACATACATATATATACGCTATTGAATTTATCCGCTCGAATATTCATGGGGGACGAGAGAACGAATGCTAAATTTAAACCTCAAAGAATCGTAGAATAGGCCAGATGGGAAGAGTGCGTCCATTTCGATTTCCATCTGCAACAGTCTGCACTCTGCGGGCCTGAACTCTTGCAACGTCGTGATCCTGATCAATCCTCTGTGTGTGTGTGTGTGTGTGTGCGCGCGCGCGTGTGTGTGAGAGAGAGACCGCTTCAACATGTACATGTACATACATACCTTAAACATATATAGAAGCCGCGCATACAATTATAGAACGATCGTACATCGTACCTTGATTCTGTGATGTATAATTTCTAATGGTGCGATTTTTGCATACACCTTTAACTGTTGTTAGAGGAGAGAAATAAATTTGTAAAATGTCCATTTTCCTCTATTATTAATTTGTACTCTTTTTTTTCTCGAAAGCTCGTAAATGAATTTTGATTTTATATAAAAAAGAATATATGAGAAATAAACATTTGATTTAAAGTGTGATGATAGATTATTTAAAATGATTGTTAATACAATTTATAATATAGATATGTAATAAAATTGTATATGTGTACTTATATTAAAATAATTATATAAAAAAAACAAAGACGGATTCTCTGTCTAACTAGTTATTTTAAGTTATATTCAGTTGAAGTGCAAGAGAAAAAGTTAAGGCGAAGCCTCCTGTTTTACCGATTAAATCATGTAATTTTTGTATAAGAAATATTTTGTTTCTCTTTCATCGATTCGAAAATCCTTTTCCAGGATTAAAGTACATATATGCATTAATACGTGTCTGTGAAGTGGCGACTATGCCTAGAACGATCAAAAATTTCAAAATTGATATATTTTTTACTATTTCTTAAAGTGAAACATGGCATCTCAGCTATCAAGTCATGATAACATTTGCTTGAAATGAATGCTTTGCAACCTGTACATATGAAATAGTAGTTCCTAGACACGTAGTTTACACGAACAAATAACATCGAGTTCCTAGAATTAGACTTAGACGCTTTATCGCGATGAAGTTATATGAAAATTGACACGAATGTGCGACTGCGTGTATCATAGGTTGCGTGAGATATTGATGTAGTAACATATAAAAACATGTCGATGCGTGGCGCGCGGCGTGACCTCTGGTGACTTCGTCGGAGTTCTAGCTTCGCTTTAGGATTCCCTTAAAGGCAGTTAAAGGAGAGTGGCGAGTGAAAGTCAGATGAGAGTAATATTGAAGAAAATTATGTATGTATATTGTGTATATCGAAAAGAATGGATATCTATATTAAAAAATCTTAAAGGAGATGATGGAAAAAAATTATTGTATTTATTTTAGCAGAGGTAAAACGAGGACGGTGAGATTGGATAAAAATTGAGGTTATGTAACTAGTAGTGAAGTGGAAGGACAAAACATTACTCGTCACTTGAAAAATAAATTGATTAACGAAAGAAATGGATGCTGATTTTGAAGAACTTTCGCACGACGCGAACATAATTGCTAGATTGAAGCAGTTCAGTGAAGCAGCCTTCAAAATCCAGGATATGACAGAATTGGTTAGCGATCCCTCGCTATTCGATAAACTTTCCAATACAGATAAAATTAAATATAACTTGTTGTTATCTTATAGTCTTAATAGTCTGTTTTGGATGTACTTGAAAGCCGAAGGTATGTAAAAATTTTAATTCTCAAGATACAAGTTAGATTACCAATTTAGATCGTACGTATTGATTATTAAATTATTATTGATTGTAGGAATAGATCCTTCGAAGCATCGAATTAGATCAGAAAATGAGAGATTGAAAAAAGCGATGATACGAGCGAAACAAATCAATGATAAAAATACACTTATGCCACGTGTCGATATAAATGCTGCTAAAAGATTTATGAGGAGTGGTTTATGGGAACCGAAACAAAAGAAACACAAGAGCATCGAGAAGAAGATTGACAAATCTGAAGATCAGTCACCCACATAATAAATATTACAAGTTCTATTATTTATACATGAATTTATGTAAAATTTATTTTTTACATGCGTTTTCTACGTTTTTATTTAAATAACTTAATGTTTATTGCTTTAATCAATATTTTCATTAAAGATATAAGATTCGATCTTTTTTATCTACATTGCCATTCTAGCATCCTGTTATTCTTTGATTTTCAATCACTATCAGGACAGGATTGCATTTAGATTTTCACCCGAATACCATGCCATTCAGAGGTATCATTTTAGTGCACGAAGAAATCTTAGAAATAGGAATAAATATTAAGATTTCGACCTATCAGAAACTGCAGATTATACACTGGAATACACTGTGGTTTTAGATAAGTTGAAATGTTAATATATTTGTAAGAAATCTTAATAAAGATTTGCGATTATTAACGTAAATATTTCGATAATACATTATTAAATTCGTAATTTTTTATTACATAAATGCTGTATAAATAAATACGCATACTTTTAATATTATACATCTTATATATTGCTGAAAAATGACAATTTTTTCTTCACTACCGTGGGCCTTGAGTGCCACCATTCGGTTACTCTTGGCGAAAAATATCTGACGACACTAGCGTCCACTAGCGTTTCCACAGGTCATAAATTCGAAGAGCATGAAGCATCCCGTTATAGCGGGAAAATGGAAATACGCAAAACAATAAAGTGATACGAGAAAGTACTAATCCGCGCTCGTACAGCCAATCACATCACAGGACACGACACGATACGTATCTTGGATTCGTAGAGATCTTGGACTGTAGAGACTGCGCGTGATGCAAACGACGCAAGATGCGAGTAAACGCGAGCAGACGCGAGCAGACGCGAGCTCTGTGCGAACAGAGCGAGTTGCGCGAGTGAGCCAGCGAACGTAAGCTATATACCTCTGTTCGCATCGATCACACCGTCGACGTGATGGCAGCTCAATGGATTCGTACAGCAGTAAGTAGGGACGACGAGTCGCACTGTTCGCGAAATTATCCAAGGAACTGCTGCCGTGCGTAACTACTCCGCATCCCTGTAATACATTCTCTTACCCCCTGAGAAAGGTTAGAACTCCTCGCGGATCGCATCGCATATTGTCCTCCATCTCGTCTTTGCTCTTACGTCTCCTACGCATATCCACTCTCTCTCTCTTTCTCTCTCCACACATGCATCTATCACTGTTCCTCTGTGATATAGCTTAATGTTCTAATTCCGTCCGGCTCTCCGTTTTCTACTTTGATGATTCCTTTGCACATTGGGTAACTGGATATTATATTCTTATCGGTATAATTTCGGCGAGTCTTTGAAATAATTTCCGGGATTATCAGGTCGACGTAAATAAAGATTATTCCTTATTCGCGGAGAATCAGTCTTGCCGGAGTTGTACCTTCATTACCTATTTAAGCCATATATATGTGACGTGTGCCAACAGATTTCTTCAAAAATTACTGGTGCACGGCTTTATAGCAGCAAGGTACACAAATGCACCCTTATTCCTGGAGATGGCATTGGACCCGAGATTTCCATTGCCGTACAAAAAATCTTCGATGCCGCCAAGGTAAGATATATTTGCGTTTTGACTAATGCAACAAGATTGATTCCTTACTTGGTGTTAAGCGGTTCTGTATTTAGATCTAGGTCTTTGTTTTCATGTCCTGATCCGACTTGAGTAATTAGAGGAGGATATGTTTCCTGTTGACTAAAAACATCTTTTTTTTTATCACTGATTAGTTTATTATAATCAGAGGGGTTTAGCAGCTTACATAACATGATTATTCAATTTATAATCTCTTTTAATAGTATACGTGCATTTGATACTCTTATTTGGATATATTATTGATGTAAATACATGTATTTTTACTTCAATATCCTAATGCATACTATGTATTTTATTTCAATGTACTTGCTATATGTATTTGTTTTTTATCTTTTACAATAATTGTTTTCTTAATTTGTCTGAAAAAAACCAGGTGCCAATAGAATGGGAATCAGTTGATGTAACGTCAGTAAAAGGTCCAGATGGTAAGTTTGGTATACCACAAGCAGCCATCGATTCTATCAATAGGAATAAAATTGGCCTTAAGGGACCTCTAATGACTCCAATTGGAAAAGGTCACAGATCTCTCAATCTTGCACTCAGAAAGTAAGCATCCTAGAATTTACAGTACAATATACATATATACATATCAAGCGCGCACACACACACACACACACACACACGTGCGTAAGTCAAATTAATTCGCGAGATACGCGAGTATATATCAGTTGAATTTTTAAAACAGTACAGTTGTCCAAAGTAATGCATAGATCATACATAATCGTAATATTCGTAATATCGTGATAAGAGCAGCACGAGCGATTGTTCTAAATACATATCTTACCGCTTGCTTCTCTTGGAAAGTAAAATACACACGTCGTATCTCATTTATCTGTTTACAAATATTTGCAGAGAATTTAATTTATATGCCAATGTGCGACCATGCCGATCTTTGGAGGGATACAAGACACTGTACGATAATGTCGACGTCGTTACTATCAGAGAAAATACGGAAGGTGAATACTCTGGTATAGAACATGAAATTGTAGAAGGCGTCGTTCAGTCCATCAAGTTAATCACGGAGGAGGCCTCTCGTAGAGTAGCAGAATTTGCTTTTCAATATGCCACAGACAATAATAGGAAAAAGGTACATTCCAAGTATTATCATCAAACGATGAAACATGAGTAATAAGTATTTGATCAGATCAGATTGACTAAAATTTATTTATAGGTTACTGCTGTACATAAAGCGAATATCATGAGAATGTCGGATGGCTTGTTCTTGAGATGTTGTCGAGAAGCAGCCCAAAAGTTTCCATCGGTCAAATTCGAGGAGAGGTACTTGGATACAGTTTGCCTAAACATGGTACAAGATCCGAGTCAGTACGACGTGCTCGTCATGCCTAACTTGTACGGTGATATTTTATCTGATATGTGCGCTGGACTCGTCGGAGGTCTCGGTCTGACACCAAGCGGAAACATTGGTCTGAAAGGAGCCTTGTTTGAATCGGTATAGTCATTCATTTCATGAATGTGTAAAGACGACGAAATTTTAAATTGAAGTAACTGGTATATACATATATTAATTTTACTTAACAAGATGATCAATTTTATTAACACAGGTACATGGAACTGCACCCGATATTGCCGGGCAAGATAAGGCAAACCCCACAGCGTTGTTGCTCTCCGCGGTGATGATGCTCAAGCACATGGGCCTGAGCAACCATGCCAAGATCATTGAACACTCTGCTTACGACACTATCAAGGAAGCAAAGTATCTAACCGGTGATTTAGGCGGCACTGCAAAGTGCAGCGAGTATACCAATGAAATTTGTAAGAAAATTGCCGCGCAAGTCAAATAAAAGGCAGACACCTTTGTTTCGTTTTGTCGAAATTTGAACTGCCAAAATACTCATAGAATCCGCGATGAAGGGACTGCTATTTTCTACCATTTGTTGTATCGCATACAATTTCGTCTCCGCGCGATTAGAAATTTGTAATTGAAATCGACGGAATGCAAGTATCGCTGAGTATTCTTTCAGTCGCTCACGCGTATGCGTATGAATTTTCTCCCTTTCTCGATGTATTATCTCGATTTAATTTAGACAATTTGACCCGACCGATTTAAGATTCGTCAAGTTGAAATAAGTGCCGGAATGGTATTTAATTTTATTTCATTCATATTAAACGTTAAATGCAATATGATGGCATGCGCCATCATTTCTGATCGATTTGATCGATCGTACACGTTTCTGTAAATAACCAATATGATATAAACCGTTGAACATATAAATTGTTCAGAGAAAAGATCTTAATAGAGACTGTAAAGATTAGCCATGTAAATTAAATAGTAGGAATGCTGTATCATAGTTTTAAATAAAGTTGTTATGCGAGACGTATGTCTTACGGTTAGAGTAAGAATAGTTGAAAATATCGAAATCGCGCAGTATTATGAAGAAATAAAAATTTACAAAATTGATACCTACTTTATTCTATATAGCAAATTATTTCCCTTGCGAGACTAAAACATTCTTAATAATTTATCACATTAGAATTCGGAAAATTTAGAAATTATTTTCAAAAATTCTCTTTCAGTTATCTCTAGTACAATTTGTAGAGAGGCACATATTCATATGTATAATAATTTTTGAATGAAACAAAATCGCAAAGGAAGGTGACGATATGTGTGAAAGAAAAGTCCTCTCGATCGTTCTTTGTATCTGCAAGATGCAACATTAGTCGAAGAGGTGTATCATTCCTTTCCTCCTCTCGCCTCGCAGTGTATACCTTATAGCACTCATCCGGCCAACACTTGATAACTTCCCCCCTCCCTTGCTCTCATCCTCGTCTCCGCGTCGTTCTTCGAAACGATATTGTACGGTACGGTGGTGGGATGCGCCGCGCTCAGGAAAACTCTCAAGTATGAGAAAAGTTGCTGGCCATATTTCACCGGTGCGGTGGGGCTGGAAACGAAGGAAAAGGACGAGACGAGACGAAACGAGGAGGGGACCAAGTGTCATCTTCGCCGCTCGTTAATTCCTTCTGTGATTTATCGCAATCCGCCGCGAGTGAGTAATGACTAACTTCTCCGTTCAAAAATTTAGTTATTACATTTTCCTTTAGACGTAGATGTAAGATACGGCGCGCGCGGCGCGGCGTCGCGCTACTTTAAAGCTTTTCAATGGTATTCGCCAGTATTGAAAAGGGAAATCTTACGATAATCATGCATGATGTTGGTGAATGTTGGGGAGAGGGGGATGACAAAAGATCCATTCGTACTCCATCATTACTCTTAATCGAAAATTTCTCATTCTCCGAACAGAGTAAGAGATTTTTTTTTTTTCGTACAAGACGCTGGATATTTGTTACATCTAGATATCTAGAAATGTACGACGTATATAGGTATCTTTACATGTTACCGACCCTCAAACTGCACGACTCGTGACATTATACGTTTTAAAATGCATTTGAAATCCGGCAAAACACTGAATAGCGGCGGAATTGATAAACCCCTCGTGACATTACGCTCTTGTCTACGAGATGTAACGGCAATGCTAACGAGTTTGTACTTTGTATGTCGGATAGGCTGTGCGAGTCGATGGAAGAAGCGCGGGAGAGAAGGTGGGGAGGAGTCGAGGAGTAGTTGCACACAAAGGTCCGACACTCACGGGCAAAGTGTGGCAAACGCGGGGCGTATGCATATTCAGCGCGGGACACGAGGAGCTAGAGGACGGGGGGTGCGTGCACGCGTGCATGTGCCATCGTAGTCATAGGAATAATAAAAATTCGAGGGTTGAAATTATTTAGATTTATGCCCGCTCTCTTGTCCGCCGTGCCACGCCGTCGTGCCGCCGTCGCGTCGCGATTCGATTCCGGGGAACAAATTTCATGCATTATTCAGGATCCGGGCCCGACCGATGCAACCACCCCCTCCCCCTCCCCCCGGTCGCAATGGAAGCGATCCTCGAGAAAAAAAAAGAAAAAAAAGTTTTTAATCTCTCGTCGCGCCCCAATAACGCGCGTGTACCTCTCATCGCGACCACCCTCGCGACTCTTTAAGAAGCGGAAGACGATACAGCGATTCGATCCACGTACTCGTACGTGCAGCCGGAACACTTTGGAATCTTTGTAAGAATAACCGTGCATGTCTTTACAGAATTTATATGATTACGGATGTTTAAAAATTCTACTTCGATACATTATTTTACAGAGAGAGAGAGAGAGAGAGAGAGAGAGAGAGAGAGAGAGAGAGAGAGAATAATCACTCTTATTTATTCAAAACGATTGATGCTACATCACCTGTTGAAGATGCTGGTTTTTCTAGCGCGGTTTTCTACATAACAAATGAGATACGCTCGCGCGTATGTTTTCTCAATCTCAATTTGAAATTATTTCGGTAGACGTTATCAGCGCTATTTGTGTCTTGTTCTATCTTTACTAATTCCAAAAACGCAAAACAAGAGAATAAAATGCGCAATAAAACAAACAGCACGTCGAATGCACCCTTGGTATTTCTTTTGTTTGAATTATTATATTTACCAAAGAGAGAGCGAGAGAGAGAGAGAGAGAGAGAGAGAGAGAGAGAGAGAGAGAGAGA